CACACACACACACACACACACACACACACACACACACATGCGCGCGCGCCCACATCTCAACTTACGTCTGAAAAGGCTTTGGTTCAGCAGAGAACATAGACAGTGATGCTCTATGCGGCACATTGAATTCACCCTGAGGAGCTTTTGAAAATACCGATACACAAACCAATCAGAGTAAAATGAAAGGTCAAGGCGTCAGCATTCTTTAATAAAGTTAGGAACCACAGGCCTGGGATCAGAGACTGTCCAAGGTGGGAGGAGCCTTAGAAATCTTCTGGTTGAATGATATCGTTTTCCTAATAAGAATTTGAGATCCAGGAAACTTAAGGGACAAACCCAAAGTCAGAACCTATGCCCCTTCACTTCCTGTGCAGTCTTTTTTTCCCCAGGACATGCAAAATGGTAAGATATTAGATGTCCCCTCTGAAATTATGAAAGGCATTTGCCTGGCTAAAGCCATGGTTTTAGGACCTACTCACCGCGTCTGAGACAGTGGTTCTCAACTATGACTGCATGTTAGAATCATAAGGCAGTTTTGGAAATGGTGTCTTTCAGGTCCCTCCACAGACAAATTAAATCAGATTTTCTGGGGATGGGACCCAGGCAACAGTGGGGTTCCCCTCCCCCCCACCCCCAAGCTTCTGAGTGATTCCTACAAGCAATCAGATTGAGAATCCTTCATGCAGAGTGAGCGTTATGTTTTCTTCTTCTAGGTATAGATATTGACTCCTTAAATCGGAGTGACATAAAAAAGAAATGCCCTGGGTCTATTCAGTTTTGAAGTATATTTTATATATGACTGTCATTTAAGAGGAAAAATTGTTTTCTTTTTCTGCGGCAAGTGCCACGTCCTTTTGTGGAGTTGTTGAGTTCCTGCATCTTTGCAGTGTAGTTTGCCTTTCTATTCTTGTATCGAATGAAATCCAAGATGTGTTCAAATTCTAAATGGAACCCAGCATCAAGCAAAGGAAATAAGAATGCTTGTTGAGTGTGAACTGGTTTAGCTCCAGGATTTATGTCCTCATCCAAAAATTATCCCTCAGACCCTGTGTGACCAGCTGCACAGCAGAAATAAAAAGACATTTACCAGTCAGATCTGGCTAGAATTGCTGATTTATCAGAAATTAACAGCCTGTTTCTAGAAACTCACTGAGCTCTGGTTGAAATCACAGTGTGGCTCCCAAGCGTTTCCCCCCCCACCCCGGCTCCCCTGAGCCCAGTGGGTACTGCCAGAGACCTGAGCCCCAGTGCCATCCCCTGGCAGAACTCTTGTCAGCACGGGGCCCGTTGTGGACCCCTCTAAACCTCTAAATCTGGCCTGCTTCCCTCCTCAGCCTGCATGGAACAGTTTTGTATCTACTTAGACGTTTTGGCTTCTGTGCATTTTCCAAAATTCAAACCGCAGGGGTAAACACCAAACCATCTTTCGTGATGCTCTAAGCAAGTCAGAAAAAGACAAACATAAGGACAGACATGACTTACAAACTACATCACGTGGCCCCACCCTATGTAACTTGTGCTACGGTATCTTATCTTGCACTGCTGCCTAACACAGCCTGCTCTGGTCAGGCATCCCTCCTCCCTGTCTCTTAAACATAACGTTCTCATCTGCATGTAGGTAAGTGGTTGCCTTCGCCTTTACAAATGCTGTCCCCTCAGCTGAGGCCCACCTGATGCCTCATACTCTTCCCCAAGCCTTTCTCCTTTTTTACTGGCGTCCTGGTCAAGGTGCCTTAGGATTGCATCTTGGGTCCACTGCTGTCTTGGTATATAACACAGGCAAGTTACTTAACCTAATTCTGCCTCAGTTTCTTTATCTGTAAAATGGGCATAATAATATTACCTGCCTCAGAGGGTTG